AAAAAAAAAAAAAAAAAAAAAATCAATTTCCTATTGTTCATTGCTAGTATATAGAAATTTAATTTTAATTTTTATTTTTGAGACAGAGTCTCCCACTGCCACCCAGGCTGGAGCGCAGTGGCGCAGTCTTGGCTCACTGCAATCACTGTATCTCTACCTCCCAGGTTCAAGTAATTCTCCTGCCTCAGCCTCCCCAGCAGCTGGGACTACAGGCACATGCCACTATGCCTGGCTAATTTTTGCCTTTTTTTTTTTAATTCTTTTTCAGTAGAGATGGGGTTTCACCATGTAGGCCAGGCTGGTCTTGAACTCCTGACCTCAAGTGATCTACCCGCCTCGGCCTCCCGAAATGCTGGGATTACAGGTATGAGCCACCATGCCCGGACATGATTGATTTTTTATATGCTGACTTTGTATCCTGCAACCTTGCTAAACTTACTAGCTTTAGTTTTAGTAGTTTTTTTGTAGATTATTTGGGATTGTCTATGAAATAATATTGTCTGTGAGTAGCTAGTACTGTTTTTTCTTTCTAATTTGAAGGCTCTTTATTAAATGGGAGTAGTGAGAATGAACATCCTTGCTTTGTACTTGATCTTAGGAAAAAAGTATTCACTTTTTCAACATTAACTAAAATTTTTTCATGCTCAAGTTAATGTTTTTATATACATTTACTATGGGAGATAAGGGTAAACATTTTTTACTTAAGAAAATAATGTATCAGCTATTTCAGCTCTCAGACTCCTGGGTAGCAAAGAACTATCTCTGGGCTTATGAAATGTTAATCCATTCAAGCACTTTTTTTGTTTTGTTTTCTTCCTTTGTCAATGCTTTTTTCTTAAAATTATAAACCACAATCAGGAAATACAATTTAAAAGTTTGGCATGTAAGGAGTAACAATTGTCTCATATACTCAACGTAATCCGAGCCTACAGAAAACATTTATATCCTTAACTCATAAATGTATCATCTAAGTAGGATGATTTAAGTTAGGGTTAAGGATATAAATGTTTTCTCAGTCAGTCTGGTTAGAGCTTTATCAATTTTACTGACTTTTCCCCAAAGAATCAGCTTGTCTGGTTTTATTAACAGTCTAATGCTGGTCTCACAAAGAGTTGAGAAATGTTCCCTCCTTTCTATGTTCTGGAAAAGTTTTGTAGAATTGGTTTATTTCTTCTTTATGTATTTGGTAAAATTTACTAGTGAAGACAGGTGAGCCATTTTTATGTCAGAAGGTTTGCAACTACAAAAACAATGTATTTCATAGATATAAAACTATTCAGCTTACCTGTTTTTTCTTGAGTGCAATTTGGCAAATAGCATCTTTCAAAGAATGTTTTCATTTCATCTAAGTTGTGAAATTTATGAGTATGGAGTTGTAAGCAGTATTCCTTTACTTTCCTTTTAATGTCTGAAGAGTCTGAGATCTGAAATTGCTGATATATTATTTTAAGTAAAAAGTATTTTATCCATACCCCCACAGTAAATGTATTTATACATTAACTTGAGCATGAAAAAATTTAACTAGGTGAACTGACAGATTCATATTCCTGGAGTTATGGGAGAATTACAGGTTTTCAGAATGCTTAGTGTATTTGACATGCACATTCTTAGGGTGTTTCAGATATACGAAGCATTCTGGTATTAGAAGTAAGAAAAACAAACAAAAAAAGACAGTGGTGTGTGCCTGTGCCCATGGTCCCTATTACTTGGGAGGCTGAGGCAGGAGGATCACTTGAGCCTAGGAGTTCAAGTCCAGCCTGGGTAACACAGCAAGACCCTATCAGGAAGAGAGGACAGGAGAGGGAGAGGGCGAGGGCGAGGGCGAGGGTGAGGTCAAGTCCCAAATGTAAACTCTTATTCCTTTAATAATACTCTTTATATATTGAATCGAGTTCTTATGCTTTACTCTCCCTGCAATTCCAGCAAATGTTTCTACATATATGCTGAATTTAATACCAAAGGTTAGGTCTCAAAGCCTTATTAACAACACTTAGAAGTGTGCCTGATAGGAGTCATCATGTTCCTGATACTTACTGATTAGTGAATGAGACAACGTCAAAGAGAAAAATGAATGACTGGTGTACAAAAATCATGAGCGGCAAGACAAAACACCCAACTTAGACTACTACTGTGAGTATTTCAGGCTTGCAAAACAATTCTAATAACTTACCAATAACTCCAAGGCTGGTGAGCCGAAGATACTCAAAGGGACGTGTTTTGCTGACAGTGTGCAAAAAGGGGTACAAAAAAAGTGGGATGTGTGCTGCGAGAAACGCTGACCTGGAAGAAAACAATAATTACATTCACAGCCCAGGGTTGATTTCTAAGGATCCTGAACTTTCAAATTTCTAGGTGGTTAATTCTATAAGGCTTTAACATTGTCAGAGCAAGGAATCCTTAGGAAACAATGTTACTGGTCATTAGTTTCAATCAATGGTTCTCAAATGGGGTAAATTTTCCCCCCATGTGGCAATGTCTGAAGACATTTTTGATTGTCACAGCTCAGGATTATAGAGCACTGTTGGCATCCAGTGGGCAGAGGCCAGAGATGCCATTAAACATCCTACAATGCACAGGACAGTCCTCTCCTGCCCTCTCCTTCCCACCACAAAGATTCATCCAGCCCCAGATGTTAATGGTGCAAAAGTTGAAAACCCTAGTCCAGGTCACAGTGGCTAAGAAAACACATGATTTTCCCTGTAATCAGCAGAAAGTACCTTACAAACTGATTAACTTAAAATATCCAATTGTGGATTTTAAAAAATAGACCACAAAATGCTATTAAGTGTCCAAGAGATTGTCCCAGATTACCTCCCTCACCTATGACTGAATAATAGTATTCACAGGTGCAGTCGAATAAACCTTACAAACCAAGACAACAAAACAAAGCAGCCATTATCAGGCTTACCTGCTATACTTTAATAAGCACATACTTCTTTCTTTGTTAGGGCATTTCAGATACACAAACCATTCTGAAAACAGTTTAGTCAGGCAACTAATATGGAAATCAGTCTATTATTTTATATTATTTATAGTTATACCTTGTAGAAGAGCCAACGCCCAAGATTTTTAACACTCAAAGTACTCCTGTGTTTTTATTAAGTGCTTAAAAGTAATTTTCTTAGTAACTTCTCTAAAGCTATGTAAGGTCAGTGCCAACCTAGCATTCATATTTTATAAGGAAACTTGATAAAGAGGAAAGGCTTTAGTAAGATGACTGTTAAGTGCCTTTGGGGTCATAAAAGTCCACAAAGTAGATTCCTGAACAGGATTTCCCTTTTCTTAATTTTTCAGATATGACAGGTGGCAAAAATATTTTAACTCACATGCCAATTCTCTCCTATTATAGAGGGCACTGCGAATGCTATGTTAAGAAGGATTCTGAAGTCAAATCTGGGTTCAGTTGGGGAAAAGTGCTAGAAAAATATTTACTAAATTCCTCTTATATGCCATGCACTATGCCTCACAGATGACATAGTGTTAATAACAGGTTACGGAGTGAGAAGTAGCTATATGCCTGATACCTTTCCTGTAACGTCAACACTGTTTCTTTAAAGTTCTTTGGGTAAAAGTAAACAAGAATCCGGAAGACCAGGGGAGAGAGAGAGACACACACACACACACACACACACTCGCTTGCTCTCTATCTCTTGCATGCCCTTCCTTTTATTATTCAGAGAAAGTTTAGGACCATATTCAATGTATAGCTCCCCCAAATGACTAACCCAAAGCATTTACCTGGTTTCTGGATGTGATGCTACACATTGCAGTAATGCCAGAGCATTGCAAACTCTGTTAGACTGGTGTGCTGTCAAGGTTGGTGGGTTGATAGATGGATAAATATTTACAATTTCCTAAAAAATGGAAATCAGCATCAGATGAATAAAGAATAACTAAAAATTAATTCCCATGGTACTAAAGCAAAACAAAAAAAAGGCAAAGAAAATAGCTCTTAATTCTATGCATCTTTTAAGAACTGAATCATCAAAGAGGGAGCAGAAATAATGCTCATATCCTTTCATCACAAACTTACTTGGCTGAGACTAGCTAAGACATTTCTACATTTGTCTCTAGGAAGATTTCTATGGAGGCAAATGTAGTTATCTACACTTCCTCTTATATTCTCCAGCCACTGAGGCTATCAGTTGAGGGATACTCAAATTTGTATAATCCCTCCTTTTGCCAGCATCCTGCTTTAAGTTACAGTGATGAGATCGCTGGCCAGAAAGTGTCAGTCAACCACAGTGACTCATAAAGAAGTTTGAATCTGATTAGGTAGTAACTATAGTAAGGACATGAATCAATGGGTGGCGATATGTATAAACAGCAGTGAATACATGCACTATCTGGCAAAAAGTAATGACTTACTCAATACAATTCCGTTTATATATATATATATATATATATATATTTTTGAGACAGTGTCTCACTCTGTCATCCCGGCAGAGTGCAGTGGCGTGATCATGGCTCACTGCAGCCTCCACCTCCTGGGCTCAATTGATCCTCCCACTTCAGCCTCCCAAGAGGCTGGGATTACAGGGGTATACCACCAAGACTGGCTAATTTTTATATTTTTTTGTAGAGATGATGTTTTGCCATGTTGCCCAGGCTGGTCTCAAACTCCTGGGCTCAAGCAATCCTCCCAACTCGGTCTGCCAAAGTGCTGGGATTACAAGTATGAGCCACTGCACACGGCTACAATTTTCCATTTACATTATTTGTAAAACTTTTACATAGAAAAACGTTCCCATAACAAAGAACAGTTTCTTGGCTAAATGCAATAGAGATGGGATGTGAATTTACTTAAGAGTTGAAAAGTTAATCTAATTATTAGGAATTTGGGGCAATACGTTAATGGATGATCATGCCACTACCTAGGTATTTCAGTATTGTGCCATACCAATTAATTAGCCAACAGTGACCACTCTGGTTTGAACCGAACTTTAGTTATCTATTATTTAATGTACAAGTGTATCCACCTTTAATACTACAGCTGTTATATTTTCAACATTTCCTTTCCAGGCCAGGCACGGTGGCTCACGCCTGTAATCCCAATACTTTGGGAGGCCGAGGTGGGTGGATCACAAGGTCAGGAGTTCAAGATCAGCCCGACCAACATGGTGAAACTCCATATCTACTAAAAAAAAAAAAAAAAAAAAAAAAAAAAAATAGCCAGGCATAGTGACGCATGCCTGTAATCCCAGCCACTCAGGAGGCTGAGGCAGGAGAACCGCTTGAATCCAGCAGGCAGAGGTTGCAGTGAGCCAGGATTGCATCATTGCACTCCAGTCTGGGAGACAGAGCGAGACTCCGTCTCAAGAAAACAAAACAAAACAAACAAACAAAAACCCTCAAGAAACATTTCTTTTCCATGGAATATATTATACCTTTTGGTCCTTATACTCTACCTTCCACCTTTCTCCCGCTGTCATGTAGATTTATCCTACGGTACTCCTAAAGCTATGTCTGTCAAAGTGTAGTTCTTAGATCATCTGCATCACAATCATCTGGGGGTGGTGAAAGTGCTTATTAAAATATAGAGTAGAGGGCCCACCTCAGACTGACTAAATTGAATCTCTTGGGTAAGGATCCAAGAATTTGCATTTTAACGAATACCTCAGACCTTTCTAAAATAGGTTCTTACAAATGCAGGTTTTTAAAGAATCATCCTCCTAAAGTCTTCAAATCATTTGGGCAAAAGTAAAGAAATATACAAAGGTAATGAAAAGAACTGAACTGCCAATCATGGATATAAACCCACCTGTAAAAGTGCTGCAATAGTACCAAATGAATGCCACAGCATGGGTGCAAGGTCAGGAACAGACTCTCGCTTCTTACTTAGCTCCAGCAAAGCATTTTCCCTTGTCTCAGGACTCGACAGCTCATTGATCCACTGATAGATCTTTTCTCTATCCACTTGTGCCAGTGCAGTAGGCACAGGCTTCAGATGAAGACAAGAAAGTAAATATGAGTTTATTAGAGTCAAACCAAGTCTTACCCTGCAACAGAGTTTTAGAGGAAATATATTTTCCATGAATACCAGGGGAGCTTTTCTAAATACATACATTTGATGTCAACTATTCAATCTCTTTGGCAGTTACTGATGAAAATCTAAAATGCACACATACTCTTTGATAATTCCATGTTTAGGAATTTATCCTGTAGGTATAATTGGGCTGTGCTGAAGATATACCAGGACATTTACTGTTTCACTGTTTTAAAAGCAGAAAACTGGCCAGGCGTGGTGGCACACGCCTGTAATCCCAGC